GACACAGGCTGTGCTCTTCTCCTGGGTACAGGTAACTGAACCCTCTGCACCGTGGCTTCCAGTGCAAATAGCAGTGCTCCTACATGGGAACAAGCTTCATTAAGGCCGGCCATGCACTTGCATTGCTCAAACATAAAATTTCCGTCATTCTCAGCCACAAACGCGCGTAACGTCATAAACATTATACTACAAAGCTAACTCAAAAATAAATGATACATTATCTCTATTACTTACCCAAGCAAAAGCAACTGACTTGTCAATACAAACATGCTTTGTCTGAAGCTTGTTCACCCAGCCTGACACCAAAAAGTTGAATGCTTCCATTGATTTGTCAAATCACCAATTACCAACATGGCGGATGTTGATTACGTCATCAGTTTTGGTCACGTGGTTGAAAGTCCTCTATACAGTCCATGTCATTTGTCCATCTGTATACATCTATGTTAGAATCGTCCAACTGTATATGGTCTGTGTTAGCATTGTCCATCTGTATACAGTCTGTGTTAGCATTGTCAATCTGTGTACCATGCTTTGTTGCCCTTGAGACAAATGATATGTCTGTTCTTAATATTCCTATTGTTAAAACTATGAAATACCTTGGTGTCCAAATTCATCCCAGAATGTACTATTAGTAGTACAGAATTAGTACTACGAATTAATTACAACAATACCTTGAGCACTTTAAAAGACGACCTTCAGAGATGGGGAAAACTTCCAGTGTCCTTTCAAGCTTGCTTATCTGTCATTAAAATGAACATATTACCTCGTGTTAATTTTATTAGCTCCATGCTGCCCTTAGACCCACCAAAAGGATATTGGAAGAAGTTGCACTCTCTTATTAATACCTATTTATGGCACAATAAAAAGCCCAGAGTGAAAGCATCTACTCTATATAAACTTAAAGAATCCGGGGGTCTCAACCTTCCCAATTTTGAATGGTACTCATGGTGCTTCACACTGCCCTGGTCTCATGTCTTGGAACTGGGAACGTAGCTTCGTGGAGCCCCATTGAAAGGGAGCTAGTCAAACCATACAACTTGTCAAGTTTTATCTACTCCAACATTCCATTGAAAATGATAAAAGACCATGGTTTATTATTACCCACCTGGTGACTACCTGGAACAGGGTGAATCGGTTCATTAAAAACAGTGATACATTTCACTTACAGTCACAATTTTTTAACAATCATCTACTCTTAATAGATAAAAAAAACAATATCTTTCCCCCAATGGGAATGCAAGGGAATCCATTCTTTGAAAGACATCACAGGGCCAGATGGACTAAGGGAATTTCAAGACCTTAGAGCTTCTTTCAATTTACAAAGCTTGTCTTCTTTTTCTATCTTCAGCTACGGGCTGCCATGCAGGATCAGGGGGTCCCATGGGGATGCTACCTCCCAGACCACCCATTCCATTCTATCTTGGGCCAAGGGAAACTCAATGGTATTGTCTCCAAACTATATAAATGTATCTTAAAATCACAATGTAATCGCTTGCCAATTGAATTACTTTGGAAATCAGATCTAAATGACCATACTGTCTGAGACTGGTCTAAAATTTGGTCCAACCTATCACTATCATCGAGAAATCCAAATCACCAAATGATTCATTATAAATGCATCCACAGGTCCTATTTAATTCCTAGGCAATTACATAAGATGCAGCTAAAAGAGAACCCTTACTGTGATTACTGTGCAGACAATACCATTGGAACGTACCTTCATATGATCTGGGAATGTGCTGAAGTTAATCAGTTCTGGAACACTGTCTCATCATGTCTCTCTGACATCACAGGTCAGAATATTCCCCATACCCCGAGGCTTTTGATATTGAATGACACATCAGACCTGAATCTAACTATTAATGAGCATCGCACGCTGTTTGCTGGTCTCACAGCTGCAAAGACTAAACAGCCTCTGAGTATGAGGCCATTCTGACTGGCCTCATAAACCAAGAACTTCTTCTTGTCATAGTTATTGAATAATTATAGTTAAAATTGTTTTTTATGAAGGTATAATTATTATTATACATCTATTGTGAGCTAAAATTCCTAATAGTCTGTAATAACTTTTTGTTCTCTGGTGAGGATACGTGGGCGGAGACCAATATGTATTCCTCCAGGCACGGTAAAAATGGTGCCAACCACATGTCCCCAAGGCAGGTTTGGCACCGGTGAGTCAGGCCTTTTTGAGCCTTTTACAAGTATATGCTCTCTCCCAGCAGGTGTAGTCATATCCACTGCTATGGTGACTGTGCATAGGGGAACCGAATACATCCCAGTGTTAAATGTGAGCACCACAGAGGCTATCTCCCGGTTCTGCGCAGTGGATTATCTTCCCATGATGCGTTGCGCTATCTCCCATAATGCGTTGCGCCAAATATAAGCGTGTGTGGGTCTCATGCACGCGCACAGAGGGGCTCGGCCGCGCTCTGACCAAACAGAGCGGTTCATCAGAGTGGGAGTTAGAGCGGGAGCCAGACAAACAGAGTTTGTGGCAGTAAAGTGTGGATTTAAAGAAAACCGAAGGATTTAAGAAGAAATTAAGTTCAGGATCACAAGGGACACTAAAATCCCCACAAAATCCGATCTTTATGAAAGCTGTAGGTTCTCTGTCATATCATCCATTCTATGTCCATGAAGTTGAAACCCCAATGGACAAAAATAATTCTTATCCTAAGTTTTTGCCTGCTCTCTGTGTTAAGTCCACCTCCACATTTACGGGTATTGATATTTAGGATAATACCTAAAAAGAATGGTAGACATGCATTAGCCTATGTAGCGTCTGTGGCCACAAACAAAGCTGATAGTCGGCAGTCTTCTCTGACTTTCGCAGTCTTTTTGCAAGGTATATCACTGTAGTAACAGGGAGAAAGAAAGAAGGTGACCTCATAAAATAAAAACTAAATGGAGGCCTAAGAAAGTCTCCTAATATAGAATCTAGTTTTCATCTAGCCATTATGTTAAAAGTTAAAAGCTGTCGAAGTTGTAGGTGAACTGGTTACATGGAGAGCTGTCCAGGCCACCAGGCCGAGCACCACAGTGATTTTTCATCGTTATTTCCACAACAGGGACTGTGAGGACAAGGTAATTTCTAATAGTAATTTAAAGTAGTATCCGGGCGCTGTGCCACAAGGTCCGGCTGCGTTGGTTGCAGTCCCCTGCTATTACCTTATTGTTGTTAGCTTACTGCTGCAGAGCTTTCCTCTGAAGCTTACAGCTCAACACGTCATATTTTGCCTCAAATATTGTTAAAAGTAATATTTATGTCCTATTTATGCAATTGTTGATCAGAACTGACAGCTTCACTGTCTCTTCTATAACTGTGATTGCAACCCAGCAATATATTGATGGTCTATGACACATTGATTTAGAACACATGTGTCAAAGTCAAGGCCCGCGGGCCAAATCCGGCCCGCGAATGAATTATCTATGGCCCCCGGGACATTGCCTGCCATTGAGGCCCTTAAGCTCGCTAGCCCCCGCCGGCGGGAGCAAACGAGGAAAAAAATACATCTGCTGGCAATAACAGATGTATTTTGAACTTCATAAGCCACAAGCTATATATCATTTTAAAGCTTATTTTCTCAACTATATTTATATGTAAGTGTAAATGATATCAGACTTTGCATTAAAAAGATATAACGCATAATATGGGCACAAAATAAATCAGTCTGTATTTGTTTTTTACCTTTCGTCTTCTGCTGCTCCAACAAATTAGACTTTCCCCATCCTTGCTTAGTCTCTTTCTCTCCGTAACTGTTCATTGAAGAAGAACATCCACTTGTATTTCCCAAAGTATAATCCATTCTTCAGATTTATTCAAAAAACGCCCCGAAAAGAGGTCCAGACAGCTCTTTTACATTTCACCAAGTTTGAGCTTTTTTTTTTTTTTTTTACTATTGTCATGTTCTCAGATGTCTATTACATCTAATATGTACAGTATGAGTATTGGCTTTAGAGCATATTTTATCGAGCCAACAGGTGTCACCGGCACTGCCTCTGGATGTTGAGAAACATTGAACCAGTCCGGCCCTCGGCGCGTAGCAAACATTTTTTTTTGGCCCTCTGATGTATTTGACTTTGACATGCCTGATTTAGAAGATTAAAATCTAAATATATTAAGATTGATTAAAAACACATTATTCTAAAAGAACTTCTGTATTGCTCTGCACATCTGTTCATGATGTGGCACCACCTGCAGATGAAAGCCAAAAGGTCAGACTCTGGAGCTAAGCAGAACTAGCCTGGTCGTACCATACCATAGTACAAATTACATTTCGTACTAAGGTCTGGAGGTGCTTCATTGAGCTCCGTTAACAGGTGGGAGGGGTTAACTCGCAGATTGAATTGATTGGATCTGAGTTTACCGTGACGTATGTAGTGCGCCTGAGTGAGTCGTTAGCATTTAGCAATTAGCCTAGCCATCTCCTTTGCCGCTAACAGAGCCCATGGGGAGTAGCACCACAATATTTTCCAGCGATTACATTTGCTAAACATTCCTCTTGCTCCGGCTTCAATGTGAAATGATGATTGAGCGCAGTGTACGGATGGCTAAGGCCAGGCTAAAGCAGAACAGGACCTGGCTAGTACTGTGAGAGACCTCTGGGAACCCCAGGTGCCACAGAGGGGCAGCTGTAAAGTGCCAAACTGTTGTTGTGTCCTTAGGCAAGACACATCACCCATGAGCTTTATAAAACCAATGCAGTATCCTTATTGCAACGTCACCGTAAATGTGGTCAAATCAAAGATCAGACTGCAGATTGAGTGAGCTATCAGCAGTTTGTTTCCTTTGTCTTATTTTATTCCATTGCGCTACCAGGAAGAGAGCTTTCATTACACTGTGCACTTTTGAAAATGCTCGTCTTCAGTCAAATAAAATGAGAACACTGCTCTTTAGATTACACTCTCATTGGAACTGGACCATATGTATTTGATTTATTTGTTGTAATAGCATGTGGTCCTCTCCCTGCTCATACGTCTGCAAGTGTTGTCTGAAATACCTGTGAGTGAGTGCACCAGCTCGGAGGTCTCCACATCGTACAGGTTTGCGGCTCGGTCCCAGGATGCGGTGACTGCCTGACGCCCGCCCACCAGCCAGTCAGCCGCAATGACCACGCCTTGATGACTGCGCAGCGTGGTGGAGGGAGCGCGCACACACGGGCACTCGCACAGACCCTCTGGCTCCGTGTCAGCCTCGTCTTTGTCCGAGCATTCCACTTCCTCCTCATACGGCGTCTGCTGCACACACACACACACTATATGATTATATATATGATATATATATTACATTATATATATATATATATATAAAATCATATATATATATATATCTATGTAGGGAGTCGGACCTCCCGATAGGACGCTACCTCAAACACAATCAACAACTGCATTCAATCCCTCTTTATGACAGAAGAGAGTTAAAGATATATAGGAGGATTTCCCCAAATTTTAGGAAAGAACTGCCCTCTCCACTTTTTGAACAAAATTATACTATTTGACGAGCACCTATCACCAGAATTATTGACAATTGGGAAGACCAATAATATTGATGATCCAACCGGAAGAAGAAAATCCTCCTAAATACCTTTAATGAATGGTCCTCCTAGTCCCTTTCATCCCAAGCAAATGGTCAAGCACGAGGCCTCCCGCTGGGCCAACGCCTGGACTGTGTCACACCCATAGACTGTATATATTAACGGACGTACTCACGCCTATCTCCGCCGTTCAAACTAATGGGCCAAAAATTGTGCTCAACTGGAGCTATCCAAAATGGCCGCGAGTGGTCCCGCCCAAAAGAAAATTGTGAAAAAACGCATCTGCCGAAAGAAAATGACAGTAGTGTCGGCTGCTCTCATTCACAGTCCACAGGTACATAATAACAAAACAATTTAAAATGTTAAAAGTAAATTGAATAACTTTGCAAGGTCAAAGAGTTGTGCAGTCTAATGGCACAAGGCACAAAGGATTTCCTCAGCCTGTCTGTGGAGCAGCGCTGGGACAACAGTCTACTGCTGAACTTGCTCCTCCTCTCAGTGAAGGCATCATGTAGAGGACGTGAGGCATTGTCCATGATTAGTCTGGACATGGTTGTCCTCTCAGTCACTTCCTCCACCGGTGCCAGCTTCAACCCCACCACTGGCCACCACTGACTGGTAGAACATATGCAGCAGTTTGGAGCAGATGTTAAAAGAGCGCAGCCTCCATAGGATGTACAGCCTGGACGGACTCTTCCTGTACAAATGTTCTGTGTTGGTGGTCCAGTCCAGTTTGTCGTCCAACACGACACCTAGGTACTTGTAGGATGGTACCCTCTCTACACTATCTTCCTCAATGTGCACTGGCTGAGCTGTACGGTGTTTCCTTCCGAAGTCCAGAACCATCTCCTTGGTCTCTGGAAAATTATCTGAAGCTGGTTCCTCTTTGAGCAGGCTACAAAATCCTCTACCAGTTACTCTCCCTCTTCTTCCTTCCTAATGCAGGCCACGATGGCTGTATTACCAAAAACTTCTGCATGTGGCAGGTCCCAGTGTTGTGGCTGAAGTCAGACATATTTTTTACTGCAAATGTGTACATATTCCCAGAATTGTATATTCCTGAGTACCTATTGCCAGATTATTGTATTCTCAGAATATTATCTTATTGTTATTTTTCTTCTCCCCCCTGGACTGCCACCTTAACGTGGTGGGGGAGTTTGAGTACTCAGGTGATCCTGGGAGCTATGCTGTCTGGGGATTCATGCCCCTGGTAGAGCCTCCCATGGCAGACAGGTCTCGGGTGATGAGTCAGACGAAGAGCAGTCTGAAGACACCATGGACAGCACAAATATGAGAACAGTGACGTCGCCCAGCATGGCGCAGCCGGGGCCCCACCCTGGAGCCAGGCCTGGGGTCGGGGCTCGTATGCGAGCGCCTGGTGGCTCAGCCCGAATGGACGATGTGGGCAGTCCCTCCTGTGGGCCCACCACCCGCAGAGGGGTCCGTGGTGGCGAAGCGGTGCAGAGAGGACTGGGCAGCGGTCGAAGGCGGAGACCTCGGCGACCCAGTCCGCACGCGCAACATCTGGCTCTTGGGACGTGGAACGTCACCTCACTGGGGGGGAAGGAGCCCGAGCTCGTGGGGGAGGTTGAGAGATACCGACTAGAGATAGTCGGCCTCACCTCCACACACAGTTTGGGCTCTGGAACCCAACTCTTGAGAGGGGTTGGACGCTCCACTTTTCTGGTGTTTCTCGCGGGGAGAGGCGGCGAGCGGGGGTGGCCATACTCATTGCCCCCCATCTCAGCCGCCACGTGTTGGAGTTCTCCCCGGTGAATGAGAGGCTCGCGTCCCTCCGCCTTCGGGTGGGGGACAAGTCTCTCACTGTTGTGACGGCCTACGGGCACAATGGCAGTGCAGAGTACCCGGCCTTCTTGGAGTCCTTGGGAGGGGTACTGGACGGTGCACCGACCGGGGACTCTGTTATTCTCCTGGGGGACTTCAACGCCCATGTGGGAAATGCCAGTGGCACTTGGAGAGGGGTGATCGGGAAGAACGGCCCCCCTGATCTGAACCCGAGCGGTGTTCAGTTGTTGGACTTCTGTGCTAGTCACAGTTTGTCCATCACGAACACCATGTTCGAGCACAAGGGTGTCCACCAGTGCACGTGGCATCAGGACACCCTAGGCCGGAGGTCGATGATCGACTTTGTTGTCGTATCATCTGACCTTTGGCCGCGTGTCTCGGACACTCGGGTGAAGAGAGGGGCAGAGCCGTCAACCGATCACCACCTGGTTGTGAGTTGTATCCGCTGGCAGGGGAGGAAGCCGGTCAGACCTGGCAGACCCAAGCGTGTAGTGAGGGTCTGCTGGGAATGTCTCGCTGAGCCCCCTGTCAGACAGACTTTCAACTCACACCTCCGGGAGAGCTTCTCCCGGGTCCCGGCGGAGGAGGGGGATATTGAGTTTGAGTGGACCATGTTCTCTTCCTCTATCGCCGATGCGGCGGCTCGTAGCTGTGGTCGTAAGGTCTCTGGTGCTGGTCCCGGTGGTAACCCCCGAACCTGGTGGTGGACACCGGCAGTAAGGGATGCCGTCAGGCTGAAGAAGGAGTCCTATCGAGCCATGATGATTCGGGGGACTCCTGAGGCAGCTGTCCAGTATCGGCTGGCCAAGCGTGCCGCGGCCCGGGCTGTTGCAGAGGCAAAAACCCGGGACTGGGAGGAGTTCGGAGAGTCCATGGAGCATGACTATCGGTCGGCCTCGAAGTGATTCTGGCAAACCGTCCGGCGCCTCAGGAGGGGGAAGCAGTTCTTTGCCAACACCGTGTATGGTGCGGGTGGAGAGCTGCTGACCTCGACTGGGGATATTGTCGGACGGTGGAAGGAATACTTTGAGATTCTCCTCAATCCCCGAGTCACGTCTTCCGCCCAGGGGGCAGAGGCTGAGGATGTTGGGGCGGATACTTCCATCTCCCTGGCAGAGGGAGAGGGGCCGGAGAGGGTCTGGTTTGGCGACCATAGGATTTCATCTCTGCTGTTTGCGGACAATGTTGTCCTGTTGGCTCCAACAAACCAGGACCTGCAACATGCACTGGGACGGTTTGCAGCCGAGTGTGAAGCCGCTGGGATGAGAATCAGCACCTCCAAATCTGAGGCCATGGTGCTCGACCGGAAAAGGGTGCCTTGCCCTCTTCGGGTGGGTGGAGAGGTCCTTCCTCAAGTGGAGGAGTTCAATTATCTCGGGGTCTTGTTCACGAGTGAGGGAAGGATAGAGCGCGAGATTGACAGGCGGATCGGTGCAGCGTGCGCAGTGATGCGGTCGCTGTATCGGACCGTCGTGGTAAAGAGGGAGTTGAGCCGAAAGGCAAAGCTCTCAATTTACCGGTCAATCTTCGTTCCCTCCCTCACCTATGGTCATGAGCTTTGGGTAATGACCGAAAGAACGAGATCGGGGATACAAGCGGTCGAAATGAGCTTCCTCCGCAGAGTGGCTGGGCGCTCCCTTAGAGATAGGGTGAGGAGCTCAGTCACACGGGAGGAGCTCGCAGTAGAGCCTCTGCTACTCCACGTCGAGAGGAACCAGTTGAGGTGGCTCGGGCATCTGTTTCGGATGCCTCCTGGACGCCTCCCTGGGGAGGTGTTCCGGGCACGTCCCACCGGGAGGAGGCCCCGGGGAAGACCCAGGACACGCTGGAGGGACTATGTCTCTCAGCTGGCCTGGGAACGCCTTGGGGTCCCCCCGGACGAGCTGGAGGAGGTGTGTGTGGATAGGGAAGTCTTGGCGTCTCTTCTTAGACTGCTGCCCCCGCGACCCGGCAACGGATGAAGCGGAAGAAAATGGATGGATGGATGGATGTTATTTTTCTTGTGAAATCCAATGCAAGCTATTGTGACAACGCGATTTAATTTATGGATCAATAAAGTCTGTCTAAGTCTAAAGCCCGGTTTAAGTGGGCCAGGGCCCACTTCGCGATTAGATCTGAGCTTTAGGTGCTATGTGACCGCGGCAAGTGGGCTGGGCACGATAGCCTCAACCGCGCCCAAGTACACTTGAAATCTTGGGCCAGGGCCTGCTTTGTAAAGACCAGATGAGGGGGTCAGTGTGGCGGGTGGTGGCAAGTGGGGGATGAGGTGTGGCGGGGACTTGATATTGTGCGTCACATTACGCATTCCGTTGTGAGGAGCATTTTCACACACGTCTCTCCCTGCACTTTCACATTCTCCGCTTGTGTTAAACCTTTCATTTAAGTTTGCATTTTGTTTTTAACAGAGAAAAAACTTTATCAAAGGAAAAGGCGAAGAAATGGAGACAACGCGAGCATGGACTATATACTGTATATTTATGCACCATGCCACTGACTGTTATGATTCTTTTCCGGTGTTTCCTCGCCGCCTTGTCACCTCGTCTTCTGATTGGCTACACGCCACAGTCCACTGGCAGCGTGCTCGTCGGTCCCTGGAGGACACCACACACAAAGAGAAATCGGGCCAAAACAATCCAACATGTTGGATATCCCCGATTTGAGATCGAAGCAGTCTTAACACACCACATATGGAAGGAAAATCCATCAGATTTTTTTATGAAAATCTGAGCGTTCTTATGATTGTCGTTAGGGGAAAATCGGGTCTTAAATCGGCCTAATTATCCTGCCGTGTGAACCAGGCATTAGTCTAAAGAGAGCAGACGACAATACGGTCCCCTGTGGAACCCTTATACTGCTGCTGAGCGAGCTGGAGATGTCTTCCCCATGCAGACATACTGCAGCCTGTTGGTGAGAGAGTCCATGATTCAAGACACCAGGATGGCTACACAGCCATACCAGTGAGCTTCACCTACAGCAGGTGAGGTTGAATTGTATTAAAAGACTTCTCACTGTGCAGCCTCCGTCATCCAAGTGTGAGAGGGTGCAAAGATAGAGGTCATCATCCTCGACCCCCATCCCTTCCCTGTATGCAAACTGCAGCAGATCTTGGGCATGCTGCACCTATGGCTTCAGCACTAACCTTGGAGAGGTTAACCTTGGATATACAGTATATATCTATATAATATATATATAAAAATAAAATAAATGTATATGTATATATATATATTATATATATACATATACATATATATTATATATATACATACACATGAGAACGTCAGTGTGAATATTTAATATTTAGTGCAGAAGCCTTTGCTTGCAATTACAGAGGTCAAACGTTTCCTATAATTCTTCACCAGGTTTGCACACTTGATTTTGGCCCACTCCTCCACACAAGTCTTCTCTAGATCTGTCGGGCTTCAGGGCCGTCGCTGAGCAACAAAGTTTCAGCTCTCTCCCAAGATTTTCTATTGGATGCAGGTCTGGAGAATGACTAGGCCACTCCAGAACCTTGATATGCTTCTTATTCCTCCAAACCTGACAAGTAAGAGTTTAAACCAAAAAGTTCTATTTTGGTCTCATCTGACCACATGACTTTCTCCTATGACTCCTCTGGATCATTCAGATGGTCGCAGGTAAATTTTGGACGGGCCTGGACATGGGATGACTTAAGCAGGGGAACCTTTGATGCGATGCATGATTTTAAACCACTAAGCCGTAGTGTTCTACTGAAAGTAGCCTTGGAAACGATGGTCCCAACTCTCTTCAGGTAACTGATTCCTCACTTTTTTCATCACGAGTGATGCCCTGCGAGAAGAGATCATACATGGATCCCCAGTCCAAGGTAGATTAGCAGTCATGTTTAGCCTCTTTCGTTTTCTAACAATTGCTGTAATAGTTGATCTATTCTCACCAAGATGCTTCCCAATTGTCCAAGAGCCTTTTCCAGCTTTGTGATGCTCTACAATTTTGTCTATGGTCTCTTTTGACAGCTCTCTTTTGGTCTCTCCAACTGCTACCATGGGTCTTGCCCATGGTAGCAGTTGGACCATGACTGACTGTGGGATGCACAGGTGACTTTAAAGGAACTATACCCGATCTATTTTCTAATGAGTTCATAAAAATGCGTATACTACATACGAGATTGATTCAGCTTGTGTATGAATTCAGGCCATAGAAAGTGCTGAGTAGAAATTTTGCGTGACGCTAGCTCTCCTCCACTTGCAGAACAAGGGCCAGCGCTGTTACAAACTGGCTGCCTGCATCTGCAGTGCAGGCAAACACAGCAGAATGGCAGCAACAGGTAGTATGCCCAAACGATGCAAAAGTGAGGAAGAGAAGAGGGAATTAAAGCAAAATAATGATCAAAGATGAAATCAAGCCCGGGTGAATATACGTAGCATTAGCTTACATCCTATCCGCTGGAGAGACCTGTAGGAGCGGGACCACCTCCGACAACATTTGGCCGCGAAACTTTTAAGCCAAACCCTCCTTCCATCAGAAACGTGGCTGGGGGTCCAACCCAATACTAGCAAGGTGTACCTAATAAAGTGGCTGGTGAGTGTACACATAAATACATATACACAGCGCCTTTCAAAGTCATTAATACAACTTGAACATTTGCACATTTTGTCATATTTACAACCAATAGATATTGTTTGGATTTTTTTCTTTACCTGAAACTTCACACAAAAGTAAGAGACAACAGTGAAGTGAAAGTGAAATGATATGATACTGTTATAAAAATAGAAAAGTGAAAATATGGGCCTGCACAAGTATTCATACCGATTCTTTGTGAATTAAAGCCTTTAAAACAGTCATAATGACTGCTGGATAGAGGTGAGGAAATTTCAGATTATTAGATTAACCGTGATTCGGCCGTGGAAGAATCGAGAATGATTCAGAATTGGATTCACATCCAATTCTGATTGTTTAAATATGCAGAGTAAAGTGGAACTAAAATACAGTAATTGTGGTCTTCGAAACAGCACACACCTCCAGAAAAAAACAAAAACAACAACAAGCATGGCTGAGCTAACCAACCCACCTCGCTGTAAGATCTTACCTGCTTCGGTCGTCTCACACTTTCATAAACACACTCTTTCAGTGCTCACAAGTTTACTCCAAGCCATACATGTGTTACCTACTAAGCTGCTGCACATTTGAGAAAGACACATCTCACAACTCTTACACATTGACTCTCAATTGATTGCAAAGAACGTGATCCATGCTCGAGCTGGTTGGCGCACAGTAGCCTAGCGTAAGCAGGAAGAGAAACGAAAACTTGACTCGGACCCCAAGGGCCCCTTCTGACCTTTTAGACCCTTCTGACTGTATTATTTGTAATCAACATTAAACGAAAGCCTCTGAATCATAAGTGAGGTGCCCCAAGATTCCCACCCCTACTCCTGGATGTTCACACCTTGCACTAATGATTAAAAAGAGGCCTCCTGTGTGTACTCTCAGTATAAATACAGCGGTCAGATGTCAGAGAGAAAGGCCAAGGAGTACACCAGAGAGGTCAAGGATAGGGGCCAAGGAGCACACCAGAGAGGTCAGAGGTCAGGGATAAAGACCAAGGAGAACGCCACAGAGGTCAAAGACAAAGTTGTGGAGAAGTTTAAAGCAGACATTATTGAAATCTTTATGTTTATGGTTGTAAACATGACAAAATGTGCTAAAGTATTTATACAAAGCTGTATTAATACTTTTGCTGAGATCATCTATGTGTTGCAGACAGAAGCAAGGTGCGAGTTCTTAACATCTGACCACAATAACATTTCTCAAACGACAGAACAAAAATAATAATAATAATAATGCATCGGTTTTATATAGCGCTTTTTTGGACACTCAAAGACGCTTTACATGTCATTATTCATTCACTCCATACACGGTGGTGATAAACTACTACTGTAGCCACAGCTGCCCTGGGGCACACTGACAGAAGCGAGGTAACCACCACCAACCATTCACACACGCACCAGACTCATTCTAGGCAATGGGGGTGAAGTGTCTTGCCTAAGGACACAAGGGCAGTTTGGCACTTTTTAGCCGCAGCCGCCCCACTTGCCAAGGACACAACGACAGCAGACAGTGGGAGTCGATGGTGAAAGTCGGGGTCAATCCCACGACTTTCTGGCTCAAAGGCCAATGCTCTACCAACTGAGCTACTGTTGCTCAGTTGGTAGAGCATTGTCCTCATACGTTCCAGCGGTTCCTTCCTTACACTAGAGTCCGCAGTGGACTGAGGGGTGGGCAGCTGCACCATGAACCTCCAGATGTGAGCTGTCTGGTCTCCAGAGGCTGAAACAACACAAGACTGAGTCAAACACAGACAGCTTAAGGAGACAACAAGCCAATTGTCTTAAAAGGTACACTGTGTAGGTTTTACTCTCATCTAGCGTTGAGATCATATATTGCAGTCCCTTGGTACTACGAGTGCTGCTGATATTATGTCGTATTTGACAGTGTCCCCAACTCCCGGTCATTCGAACCAGGGCCAAAGAAATTGGATCCCTCCATACGTATTGGTTACTTGACATGGTAGCGCCAAACAGGCCGCGTTCTGCTCAGCCTGCGCGCTACACAGAGGCTCTGGGGTTTTACCAACGCGGTGTGAAGAGAAGAGATGCTTGGAGGAATAAGACATCTGTGGGAGCTTAAAGCCACCATGATCAGAGAATCAGAGAAGCCAGGACATTGCCTTGGACATGAGCATATATACACAGCCGTGGAAGAACTGCGGCTAAAAGTTCGGATTATTATTAGCTTTCCCCAAGGCGCCGCATCTGCATAACTAGGTAAGTAAACTTGGTTGAAGAAACGTATTCTGGCTATTGTTTCGCGGGGGATTCTGTGTCCCCTGAATAATTTTTGTTGAAACTTGTGGACATAGTCATTGGACTATGTCGGAGTGGGTCAGAACATCCTGAACACATGTGAAGCAGATTCTGCCTCGTTCTCATCACTGTTGGTATGAAGAAAGTTACACATTGTTCACGTGTGCACATGCTGTGTACAAACTACAGCAACGTGCCTCCTATTGATTTAACGCCTTTCATGTGGTTTGCGATGTTGACACATAACATCGCAAACCACACCTCGCTATCTGACAGCTGGAACAAGTTTCAGCCCCTCTGTCTGTCGACCCTGTCCATTGAAGATTCGGAAGACGTATATATCTTTGGCATTTTGGTGGTGGGAATCCTCCTGTTTGGGTTTGGAGCGATCCTCTTCTACCACAAATTCGGTGGCATGGCAGTTCGCAAGATTCACGACCTGCTGGCCGACAAAATTGATGGGATGTACAAGGAGCTAAGCCGTGTCGTGGTTGAGAGTGCCGTGTCTGGACAAAGAAGGGTGGTTTTGGTGGAACAGTTGATCAAAGATCTCGCAGCTCATTCACTCGATGGGCATAAAACTCTGGAATTGAGATTGAATGACATTGTTTGTCAGGCTTGAACTCTCTGACCCGGCTTGGATTTGCCCCTGTGTACGGAGGTCTGAGGGCGCCGTAATTCGGTTTAATTGGAATTAATAGAATATCTGCCTGCTTTTGACTGCGACATTGCATATAATATTGTCCCTCTCAGGCGATGTGTTTTTCTCCTGCTGTGTCTTCTCTCCACTCTTATCTCACATTCCTCGGCCAAGGCCATAAACAAGGTCCCACAATCTACAACAACTCACACTATTTCAGTGTCCAGCAAGGATCCCTCACCCCCGCCTCCCTCTACCTATCCATCTTGCTCCCTCCCTCCCCTCCATTCCTTATTGTTTTCCTACTCACCCCCTCCCTGATCCCGCCCCCCTCTGACAGCTACATTGGGCCGGCCGCCGGAGGTGCTCATCCCGAGAAAAAAAATCTGTGGTTTATAAAAAGCACAATGTGTCTATCCAATTGTCTGTGAACTGTATGTTATTGCTCTCTGCTGTTTCTTGCTGCACACAGCGCCGCAAATGGCGAAGTGGCACGCTCTCTGCCAAGACAATTTCCAAGTGATAACTTTGTTACTCACGTGGCAATAAAAATGATTCTGATTCTGATTCTGATTCTGATAATTCTTTTTCTAAAAGATTCTTCTTTGGGTAGTTCTTTGGTATTTCTCATGGAGGACTACATAACTGTGGTCCTCCATGATCCCTTTTTAAAACTTGTCAGGGCACCGTGGAAGCAACAATATGAGTAGCACCTGTGAACAAAAACGCGATTCTTGCATCCTTTTTGTCCCTTATCAAACATTGTTTTTCAAGATGGTGCATCGACAGGGAGAATCATCCAGCTCTCATGTACATTTTATGGTCAAATTCTAAGTCTATGACAACAATTCAAAAACATTTGTTATTGCTTAAAATTAGGGATATACCGATACTTTTTTCAAAACCGATAAGAGTACTTGCCGATACCGAATACCGATATGAGTACTGCATTGTGTTATCCCAGGCAATTCATAAAACTAATGCAACGGAAATTTAAAATGCTTTATTTCTCATTTAAAAATAATAATAATAATAATGCATAGGTTTTATATAGCGCTTTTTTGGACACTCAAAGACGCTTTACATGTGTCATTATTCTTTCATTCCATACACGGTGGTGATAAACTACTACTGTAGCCACAGCTGCCCTGGGGCACACTGACAGAAGCAAGGCAACCAGTATGCGCCATCGGCCCCTCTGACCACCACCAACCATTCACACACACACCAGACTCATTCTAGGCAATGGGGGTAAAGTGTCTTGCTTAAGGACACAAAAGCAGTTTGGCACTTTACAGCCGCAGCCGCCCCACTGTATTTCAACAATAAGAATATGGTTTAACAATTAAACATTTTAGCAATTGTTTTAACAGTCAACAATAAGAACCACTGTCATATTCCACTACACCTATACAAAGATGTAGAGTTGGTTGTTTTTGTGCTCCGGTGCGAGCAAAAATGCTATACTTGCAGCTATACTAGTTGACAAAGTCTGACAAAATTGCTGGTGTTATACGCGTTTGTTTTGGACCCACTTCGGGACAGTTTAGCCTTACACAACGTACAGTTCGCTTTACTGTTGTCACTCTGTTCTGAGATTGGGAGACGTGTGGACTCTGTGGGAGCTGTGCTGGAGAGAAGGATGAGGGCTCTAATACAGGGAATCCTGGGTAGCTCCAGACACCATTTGCATGACACTATGGCCGCTCAGAAGAGTAATTGTAGCAACAGGCTTATATCACTGTGCTGCCGAACAGAACGTTTTAAGAGATCCTTTGGGCAGACGGTGGCTGAGTGGATAGCACTCTCGCTTCTCAACAAGAAGGTCTTGGGTTCGAATGCCGGTCGGAACTCGAAGTTTGCATATTCTCCCCGTGCCTGCGTAGGTTTCCTCCAGGTGCTCCGGTTTCCCCTAACACTAAAAACATGCACACTGCGACCACTGCTCCTGACGTTGGCCCTAGCCTTTGACCCAGGATGGGTCAAATGCAGAGGATGAATTGCCCTACATGGATTCACAACAGCCCTGTATGAGTCTTCTGCTGACACCTGAATTTCTCCTATGGCGGATCAATAAAGTATCTATCTATCTCTCAACTCGTTTACTTGTCATACTGTCATATGGCCGTTATCCGATTGCTGCTGCTAGCTGTTAAGCTAGCTGCAAACACTTTAGTTTAGACTATAGGAGATCACCATGGCAACAAAGCTGTCTGCTGTCGTGGCGCTACTGTATATTAAATATGTTGGTATCGGTTGCTCAGATTGGGTCCTATGGTATGAGTACGAGTACAAGCCTATAGTATATGGTATTGGAGCAACTGTAGAAATTACACAAAGTACCTTTAAAACAAGATTTGTCAATTAAACAAGTAAACTGTCTTGAAAGACTGTATGAAAGAAGGGCCTGAGACAGGACTTCTTCCTCTTCAAGACACGTTAGTGTCATATCAACAAAACCGAGCACTGCGCTCGCAATTCGCCAGACGTGTGGTTCCTAAGGTTTCAAAAAGCACTGTTGGCAGCGGAGCATTTAGCTACCAAGCTCCTTTACTGTGGAATCAGTTTCTTATACCCTGCCCGGCCCGCCTGGGGGTGTTTCAGTCCTGCACCGGACCTGTACACGTCCTGCGGCCGCTGCGTAGCACTGGTCCACGTTCTGTAGCTAAGGTCCTGGATCTAAGGTCCTGGATCTATAGCCCGTCCGTCCGTGTGGAGCGGATCCCTCTCTCAATATGTGGGTCTCCCCGAGGTTTCTCACTTTTTTCCCCACTGGGTTTTTCTTGTGAGTTTTTCCTTGCCGATGCAGGAGGGTGTGTTGGACAGTTAGTGTCCAACAAAAAGGACTGTGGTGATGATTCAGGACACTTTAAATATTTATCAACATGTGTTCTGTATTCTTTTTGTGTCTTAACTGTTGATTCTCTGATCTGTGTTGGCGATTTCAATGATATTGTTAAGTTCTCTGAGATGACTACTGTTGTGATGTAGGGTTATACAAGAATAAATTGTATTGTATTGTAAGACTCAAACACACAAGGGAATCTTTCCCAGACTAGTTGAAAGACAGTGTCTCCATCATATCCTGGGTCTTCTCCTGGCGGGGCATGACTAGAACACATCCTCAGGGAGGCTTCCAGGAGGCATCCCAAACACACTCTCACACTTAATTTCATCCAATTTGGGGAAGGATACCCAACATGTTTTGAGGCAAACCATGTTTTAAAATCAGTTCTATCAAAAACGAATGAATATATGTAAACCTCTGACTTTGTGCTAAGTTCAATTACCCAATTTAATTACCTCTCAATATTTTTTGTTAGTTTGAAGTGGCCAAAGCATATAAAGACCTACTTCACCTATTTCATTTGGTCAAAAAGAATGCATCATTGCACAATAAAAAAAAAATTGTTGTTAAAATGGATTGATCTAACACCATAATAGCACTCCATTTGTGATTGTACTTTTTATACAGCGTGTGTAAAGTGTGAGTAATAATAATAGAATAGCCATTTCCTTTTTATGTCAATAGATCAGCTCCTCTTTTCCTCTTTTTTTGGTTCCATAAGATAAATACCAGAACAGTCCAGGCCACCTTAGGTGGTTCTTCTAATAAGACAAAAGTGTGAAGAAATTATTTATGCTTAATTACCACATCACTGGACAGTAGACGTCCCTCATCAGTGTGGTGTGACGTGTCTCTGATTAGCTGCTGTTACGGATGCAGACAGTTTAACAGGCGATTGAAAAGTAGTCTCCTTTAACCTGGGTCTAAAAGAAGATTCATTGTGTTGTGGTAAATCAATCACCTTGGCTCACACTTGGGACTCACTTCCCCAAAGACCACAGTTCGGCAGGGGCGTGGTCAGTCTGAAGAATCTGTTAGGTCTTTGAGAGTGACCATAGTAACAGCTTCGTCAGAGACACGTCGCCAGCACGTGTCTCTGACGAAGCTGTTACTATGGTAAGCAGAAGGCTACTGCCCAAACCTGTGGTAATTAAGGAAAACTACCACCTTTACACTTTTGTCTTATTAGAAGAACCTTCTAAGCTTCGAACATAAAAGAACCCATGATTAACTTTCTGCATTTAATCCAGATCACCATTTACGCAAACTCATGCCCGGGTTTACATGCGTATTGATCATAGACTGTATATATCAACGGACGTAGTCATGCGTATCTCCCTCGTTCTAACTAATGGGCCAAAAATTGGGCTTTCATGGAGTGATTTAAAATGGCCGCGGGGGCTGGAAAATGTGAAAAAACGCATCTGCGCATGCGTCAGCTGGCACGAGCCCAATTCATTTAAACAAGTGACTTCAAAAATTCACAGCGAGTAAACTAGACTTGTCCAAAAAAATTCACTCCCCTCAGCATTGACACACATGTGGAACGGAGCTTTAGGCCAAGAGCCAACTTTTGGACCATCCTGTAAAGATGTTTTCGAGAGGTAAGAAGATGCTATATGTTAGCATTGGCTAATTGTGATTCCGGGTCCACCCCCATCGTTCCGGGGTGGTAATTGCAAGCATGTCAGCGCACGTAATTTTGGCCACTTTAGAGCCGGGACCCGCCCCCACCGGTGTTGATTCATCCTTTCAAATTGGACTAGGTCGGTCATCTCATTCTCCCGCCCCCATGTGAAAACTGTAACCCCGATACTGGTCCTGGTGTGTACCTGTCAGGGCCATCTGCTCCGTGGGGTGGAACTTGATGGAGTTGACTGTGGAGGACACATGACAGGTCAGACAGGTCAGAGGTTAGGTTAGAGTCCAGTCCACACACCTGAGCCTTGGTGACCGGTGTACTTGAGCAGGCTCCTTCCACTCTCCATGCTCCAAAGAAGAGCAGTGTGGTCTGTGGAATACATATTCTATGTTACAACATACAGCTCAAAGTGGTAAGGCTAAGTCTATTTTTTAGAGAGCCACTTCGTTTTTGCTACATATTTGTTGGCTAATCTTTTGCATCTTTTTCACCAGAATGTGAAAGAACCCACTCACACTCATAATCACACCCTGGACATTGTGTTGATATACAGTAGTGAGGGGAGCTTCCATATTTTGTATAAAACAATGAATGCTGTGAAACTAGCTACTTCTATTCAAAGCTTGCCCACATGGCGTGGAGAACAAGTTAAACTACAAGAAAGCCCAGTTTAGGGCCCAAATTCAATACTATTCAACATCAATATGTAATTCAAATACTATATATTAGTAGTTCTAGTGAAGCCTAGAATATCAATCTCTCTGAGCAGTGTTGACTTTCTTCAATTCTTCAATATTAAAATTACAATTATCCACAACAGACTAGAGGAAACTCAACATTAGTGATGAACAAGCTGAAGCAGTACTCTATACTGAATGCGGAGGGTGATGAGAAGCCAGTAAGACAGGGGTAATGTGTTTGTGGAGGGTGTGTGTGTGACAATGCGTGCAGAAATGTTGGAGAGATTGCTCCAGAAGCCCACCTGCAGAGGCGGTCCCCATGACCACAGGCTGGGTCTTGGTGATGCTAACATCCCAGATACCATCGCGGTGTCCCACAAACTCGCGAGACAGCTGGCACACGGCCCTCGAGGTGGTGGCCTTGAAACTGGACACGATCTAAGCCAGGACAAAGTCAACATCAGGAGAGAAAAGACTGAGCGACCATGCTGTTCTCAGTGCTTCAGTCTCAATCAAACCGATTTGGACTAATTGTTATTTGCAAAGATTGACATTATTTAAAGGGGACATATTCTGTAAAATCATCCATGTTGCACTCTTTTATCACGTTACAACTTTATTCCTCGACAAACAGACCTGGAGTTGTTTTTAACTCCATTCTCACTATTATCAGGAACGTCCGGCAAAAACAAATCACCCGCGTTTGTGCTTAAAGCAAAAAACACACACACATCACAAACAAAGGTCAGTTTTAGAATCAAGGACTAGATTACAACAGTTCTGAGCTTTATGAGGTACAGCATAATGCAATTGTGGAGCTGAGGTTGGCTGGATGACACAGTGAAAGTACTGCCTAAGATTGTCTGATCTAAATTACATTCTAACTGTGTACCTTTTAATTAGATATTTAGTATAAGGGATTTTTCACACTAAAAAGGTAAAGGGAACAAAGTGGCCTAGAATTAGATTTCAATAATCACAAGATATATGATTTTTTAATTTATCCAAATTCAGTCCATGAGTTGTTGCTAGAAGATAACCATTTTAAACTTTATATTTTTTTTTTCTAAATCATTCCCTTTTAAAGTCATCAGTGACAAATCTGATGCTTTGTCACTGATGATCTTTTATTTTCTATGTAACTGGCGTCACAGTTGACATGTCAGATCAGAGGCTGATGGTCTTTTAAAATTTCGCCAAAAATGTATTTGACAATGTTTCCTTTTGATTCTAGGCACACCATCTCTTTTTCTTGTTTCCAATCTATGACAGTAGTTTTTGAGTCTTAACCTTTTATTTTCCCAATACTATAATTGACACTTAATGTGAACACACCCATAAGTATATTAGTATAAGTAGAATATTTCCGACTTCAATTAGTTGTTTCACATTGTGTCTTTATCCAAATACAAATTATATTTATATAATATAACCAAAGGCACACACATAATGCAATATATTTCTTATATATTTGACTTGAAATTAGCAATCTTTGCATTGCCAATGTCTATGCAGCTCTTCTGAAAGCAAGAGTTTCAATATTGACCAAATGTAAGCTAGAAAGTTATTGTATTTTATCTGAGCTTCGAGGACAACTAGAAAGCACCACAAGAAGCGGAAGCGGACAGTGGGATGCAGTGTCAATGGATTGTCATACATGGACTTAGTATTTGAAATACATTGACAATACAACAGTAGTTATACCACAGTTTCATTCTCTAAAATCCCTGGGTCACCACAGTGTCCTGCTCCCATCTCTCTGTGGAGTGAGAGAAAAATGCCAACAACAAATGTAAAGCGCTTTGTTACTCTGGTCTGTGAAAGGCGATGTATGAATATAGATTACTTACTTACAATGAATATTTTCAGACACAGACCCTGTCCAGAAGACGAAGTGGCATGTAGTTTTGAAACCAAAGAACCTGAACCTAAGAACAGTGTAATGTGCTTGCTCGGCCTGGGGGGTTGCTGTGAGGCTGTGACAGGAAACGACAAATTAGACAAAGAAACGGCAGTACACCAATAACTCTGCACTATAGAATGCTGACTGAGCTCAATGAAGCCCAAGAGGGAAATGGACCAAGTTTGGCTCCTCTCTCCGTAAGTACTGACATGTAAAAGTTTTGTGTTTAGGCCTGAATCTGACGAAACGGCTATATATGCGTCTTTATTTTTACGTCTAAAACAGACCTTTTTTAACATGATGACATGATGACTTGTTGAAAACAGGACTCCGTTTTCTGTATCCTGCACTGACCTGAAGCCTCAGGGCCTAGCACGTACATTACAAAGCTCTCAGGTGAAATGGATTCGTCTTCAGCTACAATTTAAAAACTACAGGCTGTTTTGCCTTTGTCTGAACAGGCCCTAAATTTATTGACAGTACCATTGACACAGAGTTGACTTAATGAGGAACTGTGTAAGAATACCCACCTGTCCTGGGTCAATGCCAAGTAAAAGTCAATGAGTTAATTACCCAAAACCAATCATCTTATTCACATTTTGAACTGACATAATCCACAAAATAACAGAAAAATGTGAATAAAGCGTGGCTGCATGTTGGGATACGTTTACATTGATGACAGTGACAATGCAGATAGGACTGGAGCACATTCCACTGAACACACCACAGGGACAACACGTGAACCAAACACAGCTGGCAGAGGCGGAGACCACCAACAAAGAAGCAACCACAGTTGGGAGGGGTCCATCACAGAGACAGCCCAGCACTGAGAGGTTCATCTTCTCTTGAGGTGTTGGAGTGACCTCACTTACAGTCGGTGTTCAGACCTTACCTTTTCTACAACACTGCGTGTGGATGTTATCTTGGCATTTAAAACTGAGGTAATTGTGTCTATGTACAGAATTGGTCAGTGTGCGTCTCGGCAAAATGATAAACTATATTTTAAATTTGAAAACCAAAAGGGTGTCAAAATAGAAAAAACTGTAAATCAAAAAATGAATGCCACAGCCATCACTGGAAGTGACCCGGACCCAGCAGAGGATGATCCCACAGATGGACCTGTCCTCCACCCTCTCTGCAGAGTGGAAGGCGCATCAAAGCCTGAGTAAAGCGGCACGAAAATCTACGAGACCTCTTCTGTCTGCACCGTCACCATTAGAGTGAAAATTTCTCACACTGTGCAAGTCATTTTCAAAACGTGAAATTAATGGTAATCCAAATCAGTTGGCCCAAAGGTTCACTGACTTAAAGTGTTGCATAAAGTCAGCTGCTTCTTCAACCACATTGCAGGTTGGGGGTCCCAGTTTGTTGAAGCCAACAGGACAACATCATCCACAACCAGCTGTGATGAATCAGCATCATCCCTGTGTGGAAGCTTACCTGCTTTAACAGTTTACAGAACATTGAACTAAATCCTTGCCATTTCCCATCATCACAAGATCAAATATACACAGTATAACTTTGACAATGTAGTGTTTGCTCAGTAATTCTGTGCTCTACGCTGCAGAGTGATTAGGCCAGACTGAAGGCAGCCCCCAGTCTGAAGCTAAAGAGTGCCTAGGGCTAGAACCAAGCAACTCCAACAGCGAGAGCAAAGCAGCCCCCAGATCGAAAGCCAAGCCCCCAGCAGAGCCCCACTGGGACACTGTGGAAAACAACCTGCCATATGTGACCACTGTGGTGTACTCAGAGCATATGCTGTACAAGAAGCAGCCAGAACTTTGGTGACATCACTGTGTTCGTTCACATGACAGGACATAAGATTAATGCATTCACTTAAATAAAAATTGAAAGATGACTTTGAGCCTAAACCCTTCATGGAAGTCATGAAGCCAAACCCAACTCAGAAATGCCACTGGTGTCTGTCATTTTTCACGGCGTCCCAGCTAGGAATGGTTAAGCAGTCAACTAGGCCATGGCCCACAGGCTTTTAGTGAGATAAGATGTTTCAGATTGCCCATCCATTTAGTTTCAAGATTAGTTTACGATATTTACACACATGATTGATGATGTGAAAAATGTTCAAAAATACATGATAATTAGCTAAAGTGATACATTTTGACCAGCTGTGGTTCTCCTGGTCTTGTCTCTACTGCGGGTGGCCCCTTGTCCACGTGGAGACAAGTTTAAGCTAGCAATAGCTTATCCACATACTGTCATACATCCTTCTACAGTCAGTAGTTAAATTACCATTAATTTTGCCCATGTTCTAATCTAGCTGTTGTCCTTGTAGTTTAAAGATTTGATTTAGACTGAGCAATCCGTATATATGCTACATACCTGGCAGATATCCACGTCAATGTTTTTGGCCCATTATCAGGGATTATGAATGATATTGCAATCAAAACTTTAGTTTTGTTGTTGTTAGTGGTTGTGTGAAGCCATTTATTGTTAAATAAACCTGTTTTCTATTTTCAAACGATAAAAACAATCTGTTTCTACTAGGGCTGTCAAACCATTACATTATTTTTGCTGATTAATCTCATAGTAATTGTGAGTTAACGTTTTATTTTAACATTCTATTTCAAATCCACACCAATGGAAGCTAAATGGGATGATCAAATGTAATGCCACATTGTCATTCATACCAAATATACTTACTACTAATGTCTGTTTGATTTTCTCACAACCTTTTACTTTTGGGCACAACCAACATGAGCTGTTAATGAAAGGGAAAATCTAAGTACCCCAGCTTTAATTTAGCGAGTTTAGTTGCGTTTCAGGAGGAGACACGGACACTTCCTGAGGCTCCATAGTTCAGCTTCAGCGGTGTATATGCGTGCACAGGTTACGCGCACACAACATGCAGAGAATAGTTATGGAGCTTTCGCGAAAGTTCACTGTGGTAGACCCGGCTGCTGATTGCCCAGATCTACAAGCCTGCTCATCTGCTCATCCTCGACTCATCATACCAGCAACGCCCACATCTAATCAACCAATAACCACCAGGACAGCAAGTTAAAAGCCGGAGATGCCCACCTCCCAGCCTTCTGAAGTCTGCAAGCCTCCGCCGCCCCACCTCCTCCTTCTCTCATCGAAGCGTGCTTGCCTACTGCCTCTGCCGTCACCAGTGCCTAGGCCCCGGGGGGGATTATGCGCGCAATCAAGCGCCGCGCTCAACAGCATCTCTCCCGGGCCTAGGGCGCCAAACATGCTTAATCCTAAACTTCTAACTGCATTTTCCCTCATGGGTCTCTCCAAGGTGAACTGGTTCTGCGTGTATGGTCTTGGATATGACCACGTTACCGTGGCGCCAAATGCCGTGTTGTTAGTGGCTCACAGCCAGCTAACAACAACCAGAGCGAACGCTCCGGCCACGGAGGATGCAGACTTCAGTTTATACAGCAAACAACAGCAAGTGCCCCGCGGTCACACGCGTATTATTTTAAAACTTGAATTCCCAGAGTTGCTCTGTTGCCATCTCACACACGCATGTATCCGCGGCATTCTCAGTGATATTATGGGATACATGGGCGGGTCATTCGGACATGCGTTAAACGTGTTAATAGTCATTAATGTTTTATTAACGCATAAATTAAAAATTTATTTAACGTGAGTTAATGCGATAATTTTGACAGCCCTAGTTTCTACACCTACTCTGAGGCAGTGCTGAGTCGGCAGGCTCACGGATTGAAGCACAATATCTATAAGACCTACGATGTCAGGCATACTGTATTCAGATATGTACTGTATATATGTGTAGTTTTGTTCAGTCCTTATTTGAAAGGGACAAAGCACAACAACATTAAAGGTCCCATATTACACTCTTCTTCATCTTTCACAGTCCTTTGAGGTGATTTTTGCTCCTCTCTGGTTCTCTGCCTGTGAGCTTCCCCCACCCCGCTCAGTGACGCAGTCCAGACCACAGCCCGCCTCCTCCCTCACTGAGCTCACGCAGACTTTGTTGTAAACACATAAACACAGAGTGGGGGTACATAGGGGCACATGCTTCCTCCTTCCTCCTCCGTCGAGCAAAGACGTGTCTTAGTCCGCTCCTGCTTCTGAACGGCTTGCTATCTCCTGTTTTTGTCTTTTTTCCTGGAGCTTTGCCACAGACAACTTTAACAGAATGGAAATGATTAATTGGTCCCTCAACGCAATTGATTCTATCTTTTCAACACGTAAGCGTGGGTCTGGAGAGCCCGTGTGTCCGGACGGGACTTCACCAGCGGGGTATACGCTTGACAGCTGGAACAAGTGGCAGCCCCTCTGTCTGTCGACCCTGTCCATTGAAGATTCGGAAGACGTATATATCTTTGGCATTTTGGTGGTGGGAATCCTCCTGTTTGGGTTTGGAGCGATCCTCTTCTACCACAAATTCGGAGGCATGGCAGTTCGCAAGATTCACGACCTGCTGGCCGATAAAATTGATGGGATGTACAAGGAGCTTAGCCGTGTCGTGGTTGAGAGTGCCGTGTCTGGACAAAGAAGAGTGGTTTTGGTGGAACAGTTGATCAAAGACCTCGCAGCTCGTTCACTTGATGGACATAAGACTTTGGAATTGAGATTGAATGACATTGTTTGTCAGGCTTGATCTCTCTGACCCGGCTTGGATTTGCCCCTGTGTACGGAGGTCTGAGGGCACCGGAATTCGGTTTAATTGGAATTAATAGAATATCTGCCTGCTTTTGACTGCGACATTGCAGGCGATGTGTTTTTCTCCTCCTGTGGCTTCTCTCCACTCTTATCTCACATTCCTCAGCCAAGGCCATAAACAAGGTCCCACAATCTACAACAACTCACACTATTTCAGTCTTCAGCAAGGATCCCCCACCCCCGCCTCCCTCTACCTATCCATCTTGCTCCCTCCCTCCCCTCCATTCCTTATTGTTTTCCTACTCACCCCCTCCCTGATCCCGCCCCCCTCTGACAGCTACATTGGGCCGGCCGAAGAGGTGCTCTTCCCGAGAAAAAAATCCGTGGTTTATAAAAAGCACAATGTGTCTATCCAATTGTCTGTGAACTGTATGTTATTGCTCTCTGCTGTTTCTTGCTGCACACAGCGCCGCAAATGGCGAAGTGGCACGCTCTCTGCCAAAACAATTTCCAAGTGATAACTTTGTTACTCACGTGGCAATAAAAATGATTCTGATTCTGATTCTGATTCTGATCAAAGCTGAGGCCTTTTTCCTCAATCCAGAATGGGAAACTAAATTATTTATTTAGTTAGCAGTAGTGGGGGAGACAGTGGCTCAGTTGGTACAGCATTGGCCTTTGGGTCTGAAGGTTGTGGGTTGAAACCCACCACGAGACCTACTTCACAACACTATTGGTCTGCTGTCGTTGTGTCCTTGGACAAGATACTTAACCCAACTTTGCCTGACGCCCCCGCTGAAAAATCAAGGCAGCACAAACTAGAGCAGTCATCCTCCTGTGAACTCATCACCTGCAGGAGGATCAGTGAGGGGCTGGTGCTATGTGTACTGGGTGCAGCTCTGACTGCCACCCCCCAACCCAGAAATGGATTAAAGCTGCACTAACTGATGCTGGCCTTGCTCTCTCTACTCGCCCTCCCCGCACCCACGGAGCTTTCGCCCCCCACTACCCCCCTCCCCCTCAGCCTGTGCTCTGTGCTGTTAGCTTTGGAGCTAGTGTCTCACAATATGGAACGATATGGCACTTTTGCACGTGGATGGCGTGACCATAGAATGACACAACCGGGAAGAGCAGCGAGGACGAGACTTTCTTTTGGATGGCTGTTTCGCTGTAATATAAACACTTGTTGTGCTAACTCAGCTGTCTGTGCTAACCAGAGAACTGTAGCTTTTCTCAAGAAAGTGGGGGCCAGCGGTCCGTTGTGATTGGTCACAATCGGGACCCAAAACACATTCTCTTCCTTGTTTCATGAAAACTCGATCTAAAATATAATGTAACGCCAGCACAAACCTGCGCTACTTATTCTTCAAAAGGACGTATATCCAAATCATAGACTGTATATATTTACGGACAGAGTCACGCCTATCTCCGCCGTTCTAACTAATGGGCCAAAAAATGTGCTCTACTGGAGCTATCCAAAATCCAATTTTCTTGTGGTTCCGCCCACAAGAAAATTGTGAAAAAACGCATCTGCGCATGCAGCCGGCGCAGCTCCATTCATTTGAACGAGAGACTTCAAAAATTCACAGCAAGTAAACTAGAGTGGACCAATAAAATTCACCCCCCTCAGCATTGACACACATGTGGAACGGAGCTTTGGGCCAAGAGCCAACTTTTGGTCCATCCTGTAAAGACGTTTTCGAGAGGTCTGCCAATGCTATATGTTAGCATTGGCTAATTATTTTTCTGGGTCTACCCCCATCGGCCCGGGGTGGTATTGCAAGCATGTCAGTGCCCGTCATTTTGGCCACTTTTGAGCTGGGACCCGCCCCCACTGATCCCAATGCACTGCATGGACATGGATTGCATTTTTGTAATTAATACGAAAATAAAGTCAGTTAGTGCAGCTTTAAGGGGGAGAAAAAGGATGTATGGATAGTTAGCAGTAGTCTACACAGAGTAAGTTGCACTGTACTTACAGATCGTGGTTCTTCGTTAGCGTCTTTTATTGTGGAAACAACACCAGGTTTCAGCTTGCTGCCTCTCAAAGTTCGCTCTTTAACTAAAGCTTGAGAGAAACAATGAAAAAACTACTTTGAACATGTGTATGAAGGACAAATAGCACTGGAATGATGTTTAAAGCATAGAAAAGTCAATGATATGGGATCTTTAAGCTGTGTGTGTGTGCAGGTGGTTTGGATGGGCCAGTCTGAACAGAGCATGTGCAGCTACCAGTTTATCTCACTCAAGAGGGGCGCGTACATGTGGGTGAGGAGTGGTCGGAGGGAGACAGCCTCCCCTGGCTGTCTTGCTCATGCAGACACACAGAGGGTCCCACACACATCAGTCAGCTTTACCCATGAGTCCGCGCTCCACATCTCCCAGCTGCCCACGCTGAAGTTGCGGGCTCCGGTGACGCGCGCCTGGCAAGCGTGGAGCGGTGAGAGACATTCAAGTGAAGTGAAGTGAGAGCAGAAACAATGGAACAGCGCCACACACAGGCAGACGGGCAGTACTGCGAACGTAAAGAGAAGGAAACACGCATACCTTGCTTGTGGACACTTTGTATGTCGTCTTGAGTTTCTGGGAGAGCTGGCTTGTGCTGTGGCTTGCTGTAAAAAAAAGAAAAGGACTTTATGCTTTTCAAAGGTGGGTAAATGGTGTGAGGAAGCTGGCCCAAGTGTCAAAATGAGAATCAGATGATTAATTTTACGCAAACGCAACATACAAGCCTGTCCCTTGGATGTGTCTCCCTCCTGATGAGGTTCATATTGGCACAAATAACTAGTCAAAGAGGGAGAGATTCTGCAGATATGGGATGATTCAGTTTCCAATGGTAAAATGTTTTATTATTTAACTTTTTTTTATTTATTTTTTACTGTTGCAATGAGGCATGGTGAGTCTATCAGGAGTGTATGTCACGTGATGAGCATGTCTGCAGTATTGAATAGAGCATGTCTATTAACTAAACCAAACCAAAACAGGAGGAGCCAGTAAGAGTGCCTGGCATTTGCAAAGGCTTTGAAGGCGTGGTTTTGAAGGTGTGGCTTCAGTCACATGACGCACTCTGAAATGGGACGAATAAGGGATCTCTTAATCTTACTCTCCAACCTATACAACAGATGAGGACGGGACATACTGTACATTCCATAAAGGGGGTCGTGACAAGGCAAACTTGGTCTGAAGCATAATGGTGCTTTCAGACCGCCAACGCTAAAACGCGGAAGCCCCGCCCACCATTCTCTAGTTTTCAGACGCAGAGGACTTCACACAAGAACGTCCTGACGCTAGCCGGAAGTACCGGAAGTAGCCGGCCGGCTCTGATGCTAACGGAGCTATGCTAGCGGCTTCTTGTGTACAGATCTTCTCCAATATGCAGCTTTGCAGCATGTCTTTGCTCACAGACATTCCACGGGCTTTATATAACAGTAGTATGTGTTCACGGAGGTGCGCCATACGTGTTTTCATGTTATAACGGAATTTCCGCATCGGCGAACACACTCGAAGCAGTTGCATAAGGTCACGGGAGCATGACAACGCATATTTTCACAAGCACAGAGTCCCCCATTGTCAACACTGGTTTGAGTTCTGGTGAAGCCTGGTGTGGGTCCTGTTTTGGCTGTTTACGAGTATTTTCAGTCTGCTCGCTCAGTCCGCTAATGTCCCCGTGACCACTTTGCTGCTCTCTGATTGGTTGTCGCACGAACGTCCCAAGGAAAGGATGAGCAGAATCCATCTCCTGTGGGCGTCGATTTTTCGCTCCTGCTCCTCCTTTTTCACTTTCCCGCCAAGTCCGTGCGTCATTATTGAACAGTCCGTTCGTGCGTGCTGAGAGGTCCGTGCGTTGTGACGGTCGAACGCGCGCCACCATAGACTTTGCATTGAAGCCCGACGCAACGCATGATCCGGTCTGAAAGCACCATAAGAAATCCCTGGGCCCAAAAGTGAGAGATCTAGCAGGCAGATGACGCAGAAACAACCTCCGCATGTAGTCACATGTTTGCATCCATGAACACCCGTTTACCTGACCAAGTCTGGCAGACTAAAGTGACCCTCTTACTAAAATGGACAATAGAGGAACAATGTGTGTGTACCGTTGATACAGTCCGAAATAATGTTAATTGTGTCCTGTGTGAGCCAGGTGTTGTATCAGAGCACAAGAGGTTGGAGCCGTACCTTTGGTTTTGAGAGCTCCTTTGGAGAACTCTGACCCCTCCACGGTTTGTCCGTCTGCAGAGAGGCGGTCGTTCAACGTGTCGATCTCGCGACGCACTGCGTAGAAGGACCCGTTACTTGAGAAGTGTGGAGACAGTGTGTAGGGCATGATGTCAGTGTGTGCTCTCACGTTCTATGTTCTCAATGTAAAGGCTCTCAAACTCCCTCTCGATCTGACCGAACAGCTCCAGCAGGTTGGAGCGCATGGACAGAGGCAGCTTAGAGTCCTGTAAAGAAGAGCTGCGAATCAGCACTGTATAATAAAAATCATTTACATTGTATTTATATATTGCACCTTACAATTCAAAGAAACCTCAAAGTTCTACAGCTTATACAAACGTATAGCAATACACCAAAAAAAGGATACGACATTAAAAAAGAACAGTATCTACTGAGCTTGTCTAAACAGGTGTGTTTTTAGGTGTCTTTTACAGATCTCCACACTCTGTGGGACCTCAGAGTCTCAGATAGGGCATTTTTAGAGGTGTAGAGCCCTGTCTCCCATGGTGGACAGCTGAGACCTGGGCTGGTGGCGGTCGAGCAGAGATGTGTAAGGTGGTGTGTGGATGAGAAGCTCTTTGCTGAGGCAGGGGCAGGTCCATGGACACTGGTGTGTGAGGAAGCCCCCCTGCCTTCTCACAGGATGGGCAGCCAGTGGTCCCCCAGTGTATTCTACTGTAAGGTTTCAATAGTCGACTAATTGCCATCAATTGCTTCATTTTTATATTCCAAAGATACAAACGTCTCTTATATGACCATCTTCGTGAAGCTGATCAAGTTCGCGGACGACACCACCCTCATTGGACTCATCTCCAACAACAATGAGTCCGCCTACAGGAGGGAGGAGGACCGGCTGGTGTCCTGGTGCAGTGGTAACAACCTGGAGCTGAACGCCCAGAGGACAGTGGAGATGATTGTGGACTTCAGGAAGAGCACTGTCCCCCCGCCCCCACCCTCCGTGATGGACTCCCCCATCACCTCTGTGGAGTCCTTCTGTTTCCTGGGGACCACCATCACCCAGGACCTCAAGTGGGAGCCGACCATCAGCTCCCTCATCAAGAAGGCCCAGCAGAGGATGTACTTCCTGCGGCAGCTCAGGAAAGCCAAGCTGCCTGCACAGATGTTGGTGCAGTTCTACACAGCCATCATCGAGTCCATCCTCACCTCCTCCATCACCGTGTGGTTCGCTGGGCTGGTCGTATCACAGCCGACCCCTCTCACCCTGCACATGGACTATTCCAACCACTCCCCTCAGGCAGGAGACTGCGGTCCATCAGGACTAGAACCTCCCGCCACAAGAACAGTTTCTTCCCCTCTGTTGTTGGAATCTTGAACACTTCTTAACCTGTCCCCCCGCCCTTTATAAAGTCACTTTACTGCCCATCATACGTCTCTTTAAGCCTAGCGTACATCGGACTGGCAACTGATTATATCCGTCGCCTCTGAGTTGCTGCCCCGCACACATCGACAATCTGGCGAAAACGGGCAACTCTGAGTCGCAGGCCAGTCTCTTGAATAACAGCGCGTACATCGACAGCAACTGGCCTCAACTACAGTGTGTTTTCTGACATAAACTGTTGCGGGCGCGCTATACACGCAATACACACACGTTGTCGGAGCGGCGCATGGAGCGCGCACATCGGAGCAACTGAGGACAACTAGTTGCCGAAAAGTAGAACACGGGCAACTGACTGGAACTGGAGACCGACTGATCATCTCCAGTTGTAAGAGCGCGCACATCGACCGATTTCGGCAACTGATCATCTCCCACCATCTCCTCTCAGTTGCCAAAAGCCGCCTTGCAACTAGTTGTCCCCAGTTTCTCTGTCGATGTACGCTAGGCTTTAGCTCACTGTACTGCTGTCACCTTACATTGTGTGCATCATGTGCACATGTATATTGTATATAGTAATTTAACTCTATTTTAAATTTAAATTTATTCCTTAGAAGGGTTTTTTATTCTTTATTTTTATTATCTCTCTCTGACTGTTGCACTGAGCCAAAGCAATTTCTAAGTCTGTGACTTCCTGTTACTTACTTGGCAATAAAAACGATTCTGATTCTGATTCTTTAAACCTTTGCTACTTTTGAAAACTGAAAATGATTGCATTAATTTTAATGAAAAAAGGCCAATGGGAAAATATATCCACATAGTACAGGTCCTGTGAGTTCTCCAGAGGAATGAGCTTTCTCTGCTAAAGTGCTTTTATTGTTGCACATAACTTAATGTCCATGATGCGGCCAATAAAAACCTCTCCAGTGTGCGGGGCGTAACGAAGCCAGTGAGCCTCACAAAGACAGCCCACAGCAACTGCTGCTACTAATGCTGCCACTACTGCTACAGCTACAGCATTGTGAGTCTAATGAGTTTCAGTTACTGCACTTACCTCGCTGCAGAGCAGAGCCTCCAGATTATCTGAGGACTAGCAGCACATGTTAGATTATCACTGCTCTCCATTTCACTGATTCAAAACTGAAGCTAAGTACTTTCTTCTTTTAATAAATTACAGCACCAGGAGGAAACCGGAGCAGATATAGGGAGAACATGCAAACTCCACTAAGTAAGTGCCAACCACTCAGCCAGCCATGCTCAGTGGTTTGTTATAATAAAGAAGACATTGAACAGGGTCACAGGCTGAGACCAAACCTCATACAGATTGGAATTTTTTTTTTATTGATTCTGAGAATGGGTGGCAGCTGAATTAATTAATTAATTGCCACCCACCGACCCAAAAACTAAGGGGGTAAAGATGAATGATTGAGTGTGCATCATTTACACAATATCACAGAAAGGTATATTGGCACATCCAAAAATTACTGACTCACTAACCATAAACCAAATAAAATTTTAAACCATCTGTAGTCAATCCTCACCTATTATACATGTTTTTAGTGGCAGGGGAAACTGGAAACTGGAGCAGACACAAAGGAATTGAACCCGGAACACAGGACCTTCTTGCTGTGAAGCGCAAGTGCTAACCACCGAGCACAGTTGTAATCTCAACATTGATCTAGAGTCAGTCCTGCCTTTGCTCTACTCAGCAGCATAACACTAAAGTGAGTGTCAATGACAAAGTAACTAAAACATGAAATTCCAGTTACTTTGAAACTAGAACATTTGTGAACAAATCAAACCACAACATTTGGGCAACATCGCTTCTAAATACTTTAAAGCAAGGAAATGTGTAAATTAAGTATAATAAGTGAATGATAAAATCTTAAATGCAATGATGGTGAATATGTTTTAGGAAATGTGCACTTTAAACAAAAGTTTGACAATATTTACTTTACTAAGTGCAAAATACATGGATAAACCCCATCGAGTGGTACTTAAAGGACATTTAATTCTGTTTGTATACAGCTGACAGGTACCTGGGGCTCCATGATGTCTCTGCGCTCCTGCTCTGTACTGATGCTGCGACGGATGGACAGGGACTTCTTCTTGTGTTTTATCTGTCGCACTGCACTGCTCTCCACAGGCATCTGCACGAGGACAGAGAAAAGCTGAGGAAGGACAGGAGATCGAGACTGTGGACTTCAGATCTGCAACATATGGTGAAATAAGAGTTCTATAGTTCTGCTGTGACAAAAGTTTAAAGCTGACCATTCATAAGGCGTAATCAAATATCTTATGTGATCTGAACAATGGTATTTGATCACAATGAGGGGAGCTCTGTGGCCCCCTCCCTGTTTTGTTGGGTTCACACATTAACAACACTGCTTTGGGTAGTTCTCATGGAGTCTGTAGGTCTGCCCCTTGTGGCTACTTGTTTTATAACAGTATAACAACACGATTACACCACAACCCCCTTACTGAAGTTATTGACACCTTGCAACCTTTTCTGTTACAGTAAACGAATCACATGACAAAATTAAACCTTGTTCAATTGTTATGTCAACTAACTATATCAATTAACTTCTATCAAACATACTTACATACCTTTTAACCTTTTATCAGATATATCCTCGATACATATATAACCACGCCATTTACAAATTCAAACCTGGTACATCAAACAAAACGAAAATTCTGATTTTCATTCCAGATCAAGTTTTTTTGGTTTTCTCACTTCTCTACCAGACCTTGTTTTCAAAACATCCTCCTGTGGTTTTGTTTCAGTAGCAGTCTCTGTAGGAGGATTCTAACTAGACTGGATCTGCTGCGGTTCTGTATCTGTCTCTGTATTCGGCATAGAAACAAGATGACTGTGGTTCCTTCTGATTGTCCCGTGTGGTCCATTGATGATTGTAAGATCTTGGAGTTGGGTGTTCAGATGTCACTGTCCCTTGCGCTTTCGTATTTGTGAACCAAACGGGTTGTCCGGGTAACAGTTTGTCCATATCTCTGGTTCTGTGTCTTTTGTTAAAACTTTTTTTCAACACTTTGTCTCATCCTTCTCTCCTCTCTGAGTGACGTTTCTGCTGTAGATCCGGCAAACACGGCTGTAATGCCTCAGGGAGGATAGGCAACGTAGTGCATAATCTACGTCCCCATAAGAAGCTGAGCTGGGCTATAACCATTCGCCAGAGCTGTGGTTCTGTAAGCCAAAAGTTCTCTGTATGGATCACTCGTGTTTTTGAGAAGGTTTTTGACCGTTTGGACCACTATTTCTGCCTCTTTCTGAGACGCACATGCAGTTCCACACTCGAACACGCGTCACCATTGACTTTTACATACCTAGAGAAATAATCCACTAGTTACAAATAGTTTTTGTCATTCAAAGTAAACATATCAGCACCTAACTTCTGCGACGGCCTCCCTGGTAAATCCGTGGGCATCAAAGGCTCTCTTACATTAACCCTTTCCTGTATGCATTTCTTACATTTAAAGACGAGCTCACTGATTTGATTACTTAAATCCAGCCACAACATTGCCATATGCACCTTCCCTGCATTTGACTACACCCTGATGACCCTCATGTATCTAAATCCAAAACTGAATTTCTCATGTTTGCAGGTATCACTAACCTCGTGCCTTTCAGTAGTAAACCATTGTGTACACTCAGAACTGCTGTCTCTGGCTAGTAGTGTTTCACCCCTCCCTGCAGCTGGTTCCTGTCCGGCCAGCCCTCTGTACAGTACCTCATGACTTGTAAGCAGACACTGTCGGAGTGAAGCTGCTCTTGAAGATCTGCAAAATATTTGCTGCTTGTGGGAAGGCCCTCCAGCACAGAGTCAACATAAATGTTAGTGTCCTCTAGGCCTGTCATGATAACAAATTTTGTGTCAGAAATTATTGCAATAAGTTATAACATTGTCGTTCTAAAATAAAGTAATTGAACCATTCACAGGCCTAAGTGAGAGCCAGCGCCTCCTTTTCCAGCTGTGCGTAACGCTGCTCGGTGGGAGTCAGTAACCGTGCTGCATAAGCAACTCCTCTCTCTCCTTCTGCAACAAAACTGCTCCTTATCCATAAAATAAAGGGTCTGCAGAGATCGTTTGAGGTTTATTCGGATCATAGAGCTGCAACACCTGAGCTGATGAAAGTTCACCTTTCAAACTACAAAACGCTTTTTGCTGTTCACGCCCCTAGTACCACATATTTTTGGTAGCAAGCAAGTCTCTCAGAGGTTTGTCCTTTTCAGATAGATTTGGAATAAACTTCCTTAGTTGATTCACAATTCCCAGGAAGCTTCTGAGCTCACTCACATTTTCTGGCTTTTTCATGTCTTGTACAGCTTGTGTTTTCTCTGGATCTGGTCTCATCCCCTCTGATGAGACAATAAATACCAGGAATTTATTGCAAAATTCACACGTTCTACAGCGCGCTTCTCTGTGCGCTGTAGAACGGCATGCAGTCTTGTGTCATGCTGCTTTTTGGTGGAAATACCAAATGGTAGACTCCCGAATGGAGTAATGAATGTGGTGAGGAGAGCTGAATAACTGGACAATGGTATTTTCCAAAAACCCATGTTTCGAAAAATACTGTGCACCAGTGAGCATGACTAGTGTCTGATCCACAGAAGGGAGTATGTATCTCTCACGACACACAGACTCATTTAAAGGTGTCATGTCCACGCATATACGCACCTTATCTTTGTCCTTTTTGGAAGCTACTACCATGCCGCAGCACCAGTCAGTGGGTTCTTCCACACGACTGATCAATCCCATCTTCTCCAACCATTCCAGCTCTTCTTTGACCTTGCCCATTAGCGGCAGTGGCACGCGCCTTGGCACTTTCAGTGAGATGGGAATAGCGTCAGGCTTCAGTTTTATTGTGTGATCCTTCTGAACGAGCCCAAGACCCCTGCATATTTTCGGATAGACTTTCTTTACAGTCTCTTCATTTATATTGTCCATTTTGACTATTAGCTAGCTCAATAGCGCCACACCCAGGTTTTTGACCTCATAGGTGCTCCTGTCATTGTATGGAATGGTTTTTGTGGCAGACCCTAAAACAGTCAGTGCAGTGCCACCTGGTCTAAAGAGTGGTTTCTCTGCTTTTTGCAACTGTTTTGGTTGTTTAAAGTTGTGAAACAACCAGACTCCCACTGATGACTGCTGTCGTTGTGTCCTTGGGCAAGACACTTAACCCCACTTTGCCCAAAAGCCCCCACTGAAAGATCAAGGCTATGCTCACACTCAGAGAGCAGCTCTGTCCTCCTGTGGACTCACCACCTGCAGAGAATCAGTGAGGGGCTGGTGCTATGAGACTTGGGTGGCATCTCTGATTGCCACCCCCCTGACCCAGAAACGGATTAAAGGGTAGAAAATGGATGGATGGATGGATGGAAGTTGTTAAATGTCTCTTCTGAAATAGCTGTGACATCTGCTCCTGAATCAATAATGAATGTCACTTTGTTTCCTCTCACATCAATGTCTGCTAAACATGGATGCTGTCCTGTATCCAATTGACCAAGAAAAAGTCTGTCCACACTTCCAGCGACTGTTGTAGTAGACCTACAGACCCTTCCATAGTGTCCACGTTTGCCAGTTATGACATTCAGCATTTTTAGTTGGGCACAGTAATGCAGAGTGAGTTGGAGTTTTCCCACACTTGGAACATGGTTTAAAGTCCTGTTTTGCTTGCTTTGGTTTTAGTGACTTAAACAGTTTTTGCTCTTCGGCTTCCTCGTGTGCACTACATCCATTGCACTACATTCACCTCTCAAATCAGTTTGTTGTTTTATTTCTTCAGATTGTCCCGCTATCTTAATTGGCGAGACAATCTCAAGTAAGACCTTTCACCCACTACAAGACTGTGCAATGTTCATTGTGAAGTTCCCCAAAGCCGCAGTGCATATAGAGCTATTATAAACAAGTCAATTGGTTCTGCATGCTGTTGTACTCTTATTAAACTTTGCCTTTTCATAAATCAGATTCAGATTCAGTTTGTTTGCCATTTGCAGTAAAAAAAAAACACATTGGAATACATTAGCAAAAAGTCACCAGTGTGCACAGACAAATACAGACATAAAACAACATTAAAAGACGGAAATAAATCAAATAAAACAGTAAACAAGTGTCACTGTGAAATCGATTGGCTAAAACAGTTTCAAAACAAGTGCAAATCATTAAAGTGCTCTGTTCACGCTGAACAGCCTGTGGAAAAAATCCTTTAGCATAACGAGATGTCCTGCATCTCAGAGAACGATATCTTCTGCCAGAGGGAAGAAGCTGGAACAAGGCTTTTCCAGGGTGGCCAGAAGAGTCATTGATAATTCTTAGAGCTCTATTAAGAAGTCTAGATTTATAAAGAACCTCCAGAACAGGAAGCCCACGGCCCTCTTTGCAGAGCGGAGCACCTTGTTTAACGCTCTCTTTTCTATATCTGTGATGTTTCCAAACCACACAGACACTGAACCAACAAGCAAACTCTCAATGGTGCAGCGATAAAAGTTGAGCAGAATCTTAGAGTTAGTGGTAAATTCTCTAAGTTTCCGCAGGAAGTAGAGACGCTGACGAGCGTCTCTACTAAGAAATCACGTTCTTCCTGGGGACGAAGTGCTTATCGAATGAACTTTTGATAACATCATATTGCTGGCGCTCGTCATTTGTTAGCTCGAGCCCTCTTAGCACGTCGTCAGCCTCAAACTCCCATACAGTAAACTAAAGTGTTCACTTGATTGGCATTAGTGGAACCGTTCAGATTACTTGCTACTCTGAAACTTTCAAAAAGTCTTATCCACTTCTCCCACTCCTGGGGTTTCGCGAAGTCGAAAGGTTCCAGTGGCTTAATAGTAAAAGTTGCCATGGGTGGAGCCGCCATTACTGGACCTGGGGCTGCCGCTGCAGCAGCTGCTTGTGCTTGCCCATCCATCGTCGCTAGCCAATTGCCAAGCTTACTTGTCTTACCCCAAAGCAGGCTCACTTCTGACACCATGTTGTGTTGGGTTCACACATTAACAACACTGGTAGTTCTCATGGAGCCTCTTTATTCACATGCTCGGGTTCACTCAACACTGCCGGTCTGCTCCTTGTGGCTACTTGTTTTATAACAGTAGAACAGTATAACACGATTATACTACACTCCCCGGCTGACA